ACACGTGTTGCCTGCATTCTCAGCCACACACAACACACCTGCTCCATGTTCCCTCACATCTGTGAGCACATGGGCAACCAAACAATTCCTAGCTGTCCAGGCAGCAAATGTGCATGGCAGGAAAACCCTGGATCCACTGAGATCAGAGAGAAATCATGCCTTGGCTCGGGTAGCTTGGGGTGACTTTTGATACTCCAAGAGTTTCAGTGCAGCAGGGCAAACCCTCAGTGTCCCTCTGCACAGCCCCAGGCCTGAGCTGAGAGGGAAAAGGCAAGAGAGAGGTTGGACAAAACACCACAGGAGCTGAACAAGTGTTACCTATGAAAAAACACACACAGAGATAAAAACTGCTTCATCTGGTAAAAATGGTAATCCAACATGACAGTAGGCCTAAGAGTCAGTATATAGAGTCCACTGGTAAATATTATTGAAAATTACACCAGGCAAGTTACACAACTTTTCAGCAACTCAGCATACAAGACATGTTTATTTTGCACAAAGTGTTGTGCATTTTCCCAGATACAAAGGAGAACATCCCTGGTGCTGTTGGTATTCAGCACAGGCTGTTGATACCAGGAAAGTACTGCTGGAGTGATGGGTATGTCTCCTAATACAAAGCCATGTAGCTATTCAGCTCCTGGAATTCAGTTTTATGTGATTCAATCAGCCCTAACAAGAAGAAATAGTAACACATTAAGCAAAATTCTGAGAACACAACAAATCAAGATGCTGTTTCACTGCAGTCTCCATCAGCCCAGCTGTGGCACATTTCTTACTGGATCTGTTTTTCTGCCCCAGCACAGAAAAATTATTGCTGAATGCTAGGATAAAGCATGGTGCTAATTCCACAGCATCTAACATAACAACATGCTTCACATTTCTATTAAGCTCTCCAATCCAGAATTTTAAACACGTTTTAATGGCGGTTAACTTATCTTCACAGGAGCCTAATACATCAAGCAAAGACTGTCTAAGAGCTAAATCAAACTCCCCAAGGATCATTTTTAGTCTCAGTTGCCCCATCAGTGCATTAAAATGGTTTCAGTTGTTCCAGGAATGGCTGAAGTGGACATTGGAGTGCTGAAGGAACACAACACATCTTGGTATTTCAGTCTGCTTCACACTATTGAAACAAAAGAAGCTCTTTTTATGTAAGAGCTGGTGCATGCTTCATTAAAAATCCTATTTAGGCTGCAGTGCTTAGCTGGTCAGATTCAGCTCTCATTTACAGCAGCATCAGGATAGGGATAGCTCCTATAATTTTAATGAATTTATTCTGCTTTCAGAGATTCCCCCTCCAAAGAGTCTGACCAAACTGGTCTAATTTTCTCTCAAATACACTGACTCTAGATATTTGCAATTACAGCAATGTCACCAGTGTTAACTGTGATTTACACTTGCCTAACATAATCAAAATTAGAAGCAGTGCACTTATAAGGAGACAAGAGAGATTTAACACTAAAATACAACGGGTCAACTCTGCTCTTGCAAATCACAGGTTTCACAAATCTCCATTTACTGGTGAAAACATAATCACCATGCATTTGCAGGTGTTAACTAGAAGATTCACCAGTTTTCCTGATTTGCAATTATTTTACTGCCACTACATCCATTACCATCCTAGCCTCAGATGTCAAATCTTTCTGAGCCTACTGCCTAGTTTTCTGCAAGAGATAATGAATTTTTATTTATTGCTTATGAAATTTTAGCAACTACACTGCCATTTCAATCTCTAATGAAACTACCTTCCAAAACGAACACAGGGCTCTGATGATTACTAGGCTTTGATGTTTACAGAAAAATAGAGCAGAATTTGTAGAATTATACAGAAAAGAGTAAACTGATAGTAGCTACATATTCTTGCACAGCAATACAGCAATCATCTCTCAGATAATTCCCTCCATTTCTGGAGTGCTTAAGACTCTGAACCATACAAAAACATATAACAACAGTTGTCAAGAGGGAGGTGATGGAGAGGCAGAGGAGGGTATCTTCTCTCTGAGTACATTCCATAGCTGCAGGAATCCCAGCATGTGTAGGGAAAGAGCTGCTCATGACCAGCAAGACACAGATTTCCTACAAACCCACTGGGACATGAGCCAGCCCCTCTGGTGAGAGCAGAGAGAAGATGTTGGGGAGTGGGTTTAACTTTAACTCACATAGGAAATCACATAGGAAATCAACAGAACCAGCCCTGATATGTGAAACCCCAAGTTTAACAAAGTTTTTTCACATGAACAGCAGTTAGTTGTTTTTTGATCCCTCTACGTTAAAGGATACTCACAAACGCTGCTGTTGCTTCATCAGAGAAGGACTAAATCAGTGCATCTCCCTCAACTGAAGGGATGTTTCTGCTATTTATTGTAATTAGCAGCTGCCTTGTGGAGGAACTGATAACAGCCATCAGTAAACCACCAGCAGCTGAGAGCTGGCCTTGGTACTTTGGGCTGCAACTGGAACCTCTTACTTCTGGGAGAAAAAGAGAACAAAGCGGGTTTTGATGGTGTCATTTTTTTTTTTCCTCTCCACACAGAAAAGTCACACCAAGCATCTTAAAATCAAGTTTTACCAGCTTAGTCTTTATGTATGCTAGTGTTAACTGATACTTTAAAAGAAGGGAAACTTTCTAAAGGGCAATAATGCATGAAGAGAGATGTGTGCAAAGAAAGACAATCTTATACTAAATACTAAAAATAAATGTAGCTCTAAAAGATCCTTTAAAAACAGCTGTTGACGTTAGAGATTCAATTAAAATGTAATTAGTTATACATTCTCCTTTGAAATGAACAAGCATATTACAGCCTTCATCTACAATGAATTGTGTTTTACATTCATACCTTGCTTTTGCCTGTAAAAAAGGCAGGCTTTTACAGGAAGCATAAAGATAGGGTAGTTCTACATAAAATTTTTGCAGTCAAAGAAAACATAAAATGATTTTTTTTAACCTGTGGGTACAAAGCCATCTTCATTGTGCTTGCAGTTTTCATAAGATACTTCACAAGTGTTCTTAAATGCATAAAATAGAAGAAAAGATAGAGATAAATGGATGTGGGATGGTGCTTGCCATAAATTAGGATTCTGAATTAGGTCACTAAAGACTAAATCAAGCTGACTCCTTAATTGTCATTTACCTGAAAGAGAAAAACACCATAAACTGCACAGAGTTGTACAGGCAACCAGCAACCAATGGCTTTCCCTGGGGCTAATGCTATATGGCAGCACCATTGACCTGGTTTTCTATGGAAACTCCACGGATGTTTTCAATTCCAGTGAGGAGCTGCAGCCTCGGTCATAGCCATCAAACTCCACATTAGACATTCATGCAGCATTAGGCATCCCCTAGCTGCCAAGGGCCACACAATGAGACATTGTCTGACCCAAAAGTCATGTAATTAGGCTGATGGGAACAACACCAGCGGATGGTGCATTGAGCATATCCTAATTTTGGATAGGCCATTCTTTGGCTGCCTGACTACCAGTTAGCTGGGGAAGAAGTGAAGCCTGCTATTATCAACAGACAACTTTGCTGCTAAGCCAGAGCCATGATGAAAGGGCTGTTTGGCTTGAAAATCACCACTGGGGAGAGGAAGGGCAGCCACAGAGCTGAGATGCTCTCAGAAACAAAGAGGAGACCCCGCTTTTAAGTAGCACTTGTTTTTGCAGAGTGGGTGACCCTGGCTCCTGGAAGCCATGTCCCCAGCTAGAGCTCCAGCATGTGGCTGCACCAGCTCAGTGATGGCCCAGCACTCATTATAACATCTAATTCCAAAGGCTTCAGAGGCAGCAGGATGAACACAGAGCTTGAGGCAGAGGGGAGAAGTGTGAAATTCCTCTCATTAGCAGCACTGCACATTTGTGCACAGACTCTCTCCTTAAAAGTCTGACCTCCTGCACAGCCAAGGAAGAGCTTTCCAAGAACCATGTGACTCCAAAGATTGAGGACATGTTCTGCCAGAGTGGGGTTTTAATTTAAATTAGTCATAGAAAATTTCATTTTTGTGGCCTGAAAACATCTTCAACTGTGTCAAACGTGAAGCAGTTTCATAATTGCACGTGATAGACTCTTCTTTTTAAAGAAGTGACATAAGTAGAAAGAAATACAAATGTTTGTGAAACTTTAAACTTCCCTGCCTGCACTTGTGTAACAGTTACAAATAACTCAAAAAAATGTCTTGTGACTTCAATTTCCAACAAGGAGTGTATCAAGACATTTAGCAATGTGAGCAGTCTCTGGAAATTAAAATAGGCAGCAGCTGCATTCACCTCTTTTGTCAACTATGTACTCAAAATTATGAGAATTTAGGTACATGTTGCATACTACTTAATTAGAGCAAGGCTCAGACAAATTCAACTGTTTCCAGCTTTTTTTAAAAATTATTTTTCCATTTTTAAACATGTAGTGTAAGACCTGCGCAGATATAATCATATCTGTATGGAAACAGCAGCCCAGCCATGCGGAGTAAGAATGGACCATGTTATCCACATAAATTGTGAACAATTTCACAACATCAATTCCCTTCTGACATTTCCTGGTGCGCAGCATCCCTCCTCCCACCCACCTTCTCCTGCAGGAACATCCAGCCCCTGCTGGGACTCTGGATGTTCCTGGTAACACTAACATCTTCATCCCCATTATAAAGGGCAGCACGTTCAAAGTGTTACTAATGTTACACCAGAGGAGGCAAGGAAATCCCAGGCTGAAGTTGCTTTTCTGTATCCGCAGTAAAGCCTGCCAGTGTGATACATGTATCACTGGGATCACCTATTTCCTCTCAAACAAGCCCATCTCACGTCTAAGTGCCACGGGAGGGTGGGAGATTCTCACACTCACCAAAAAAGGTAGTTCAAATAACATTGAAAACCAGAAATCTGGAAAAAAAACCCCACCGACAGATTGCAAATATAATCCAGTGTTTGTTTGCTGTAGACCAATGTGATTCCACATGCTGGATAGTGGACTGATTAATTAGGAAGCATCAGTAATAGTTCTTTGTACTTACATCAGGACTTCCACCTCAGGATACTTCAATAATGTCAATTCATTAATCTTCACAATGCTGCCTGTAAGTAGGTGTCATTAGTTCATTCACAGATGGAAATCCTGAAGCATAGAAAAGGTGAAATTAATTAGCTGAGATGATACAATGAGTCAGTTAAAGAACTAAAGATCCTGAAAAACACTCCTTTTTCTAACTCTTAGAAGGAGGTGATTTACTTGCCCTTTGCAGTTAAATCATGGAAATAATTTCCAAATGTGTAACAGAAACTTTTGTGACTCTTACAAAACCACTGTTTACAAGTCATGCTCTCATTGAAATTTTCTTTTGATTAAAATGGCTTCTACTGTTTAGTACACCCATCAAAATATAAAGAACATCAAAATGAAATAAAACTGCCACTAGATCTATAATGAACTGGAGCACTGCTACTGTTGTTTGAGGTCTAAATTAAAGCTCTTTTGTAGAGGCTAAAAGTGAATAAAACATAAAGACAAAGGACAAAATAAGAGATGACAGACTATTCACCCATTAATGGCCACCACATTTACAAGGCAATTGCCATTCATACTAATACAAAGTGGACTACACAATTCTACCAGGTATGAAAGGCAGAAGAGCCCTTGTACATAAGAGGAAAAAGCACTTTACTGTATTTTATCTCCATCACAAGTGGAAAACCAGTAATGAGTAACATCAAAAATCTCTTTCCATTCTCTACTGAAAACTAACCAAGCATTTCTCTTGGTGCAATCGTATCAAAGGTTATAAATTTCTCAAGACAGCTTATCAATGACATTTGTCATGGCAGAGGTATAAGATGCACTTAAAAATATATATAACTTTTATTTATAACTGACTGATTTTCCTCAACAACAATCATCATAACAATGGAGAGCTATAAGTTGTTGCAAAAGACAGGGCAAAAAAAAAAATCCCTAACAAAAAGAGCCACAAAACCCACATTAGGGAGAAATACTACCTGTGTGCCCTGGATAAGTGTATACATGCAAACAAACCTTACTTGACAGTTTACTTTATGAGGGGAACTAAATCCTACTATTTCACAGAGCCCTAAGCTCAGAAAAATGCAACCCAGGGCAGAAACTCATGGCTTCTGTAGGACCTGATAGTCCTTAAGGCCACAAATTAAATTTCTCATGATAGATTCTATTTCCCAAGACTGCACAGATCTTAAAAGATCAGGGCTCTGTGGTGGTCCCACATGTATGCATGTATATACCTGGGGCACAGTCAGAGCAGTATGTGCTTTATCTGCACAGATAACATTAAAGAGTAATCCATACACAAAGTGCCTGGAAAATTTTGATACAGCTCCATCACAGGAGAAGCACATCATGATAGAACCTATCTCACTAATACCAAATAAGCTTTTTGCTTTTTAATCAAAGTTAAAACTTAGATGAAATATAATTATTTCATATATCCAACTGTGAAAGCTTCATTAAAAACCTTACTATTAAGTAATAAAACTGCAATATGAGTTTTTCCATAATTACAGCAAGTTTCTGTTAACACCAATGCACTAAAAAAGGAAATACTTTCTAATTGATGATTTCTCTGGATGATTCTATACAGTCAGTTGTGTACACAAGTACATATTGGATATCTGATCACATTTATATGTAACTCTCTCTGTTTCCTGAGTATGAAGCCGGAGAGCACACGAGTTAGGAGTGCCTTCCACATCACTCACCTTTGGGCAGAGCACACATTCACCTGCAAACTCGAGCCCTTCGGCACTTGCAGGCAGACTGTCATAAACAGGTAAACCAGAAATGCAAATGGTTACACACACTGAAGCCTCCCTTGCCTGCCTTAGATTTAAAATAGTGTTTGTTCTCTAATTAAATCATCTCTACTCGAGAGACAACTCGAGTTACAGGAAACACAAATAAGCAGAGGCAGGGTGAATAATTCCTTATTGCTATTTCTAGATCAATTAAACACAATACTCACCTGTGTGTTCTTCCAGCAGCAGAATCCACATTCACTTCAGTGACAGGAAAGCACAATTTCAACTTCCAAAATGAAAAGACAAGGAGAATGGAGGAAAAAAGATGGCAGAGGGGGTTGGCAGAGAGGAGTGAGAAATATCAAACAAAAAGCAATTTAAATACCTTACTGTGTTAGATTCTTATTGCTAAATTTAAAGTTTGCTTTTAACTCTCATTTCAATGGATTCGCAGGAAAAAAATCTAAAGAGTAAATTTAGGTTTAATTGATCATTATAATTTATTTTATTAAAATAATATAGTGGAAAGACCTTTCTTCCAGTAAAGGGTTCTGGCTTTGATGTCTGATTGTTATGCAAATTCTGGGAAATACAAGATACGGACAGAGGAATAATTAAACTTAGGACTTTGTCTATAATAATTCTCACATATGTAAATGTACTCTGGTTTGAGATAATAATGTGTACATGCACTGGGAACCATACAAATGTGTTGGGAAACTCCCACAAACGTGCAGGTCCTCACCAGGGCCTCCAAGCAGCAGGGCCAGGCTGCTGGCACGTGCCAGGGGCACCCACAGCCCCAGAGCCCCAGAGCACCGAGGAGCTCTGGGCTGGACACCCCCAGAACAGCCCCCAGCACCGGCACACAAACACTGGCAAACAGAGTGAGCTTTGTTCTGGAAGATAAACATTGCCCATATACATCTATATATTTCAAAGCACTCAATTAGAAACTGAACTTTGCCCCTTTCTCAGGCTTTGAAATATTCTGGCCCCGCACACAGGCCTTTATTCTCCTTCGGTGTGGGCATCCCTCTTCCTCTCCTGCTCCAGCACACCATATGGCTCCCGACCCTGGGACAAATTCTGCTCTGATTTATGGCCTCTGCACTCTGAGGGACTGACCTACAGCATAAATCCAGGGCAGAGCACATGGGCAGCCTGCACGTTCCTCCCCACACCAGCCCTGCTCCTGTGAGCTCATCTCTGCTCGCCAAGGATGGGGGATTTACAGCCCACACTGGCAGCAGATCTAGGCTCAGGGCAACCCAGCAAGCAATGAGACCTGGCAGGATGGACACCACGTGTGCCAGCACACCCTGAAACACCCTCCAACAGAGAGAGAGGAATGCACCAGCCCTGCCAGCAGTGGAGGGTCCAGGCAGTGGAGGTGCCTCGGGTGGGTGAATGCTGCTGAGCCCCCTGGCTCTGCCACCACCACAGGGCAAAAGGCACTCACTGGATAACAAAGCAAGAGTAACCCAGACTGGTCCCTCTGCAGGTAAAATAATTCCCAAAGAGGAGTGAACACAACCAGTTTTTAAGGCACTGCAGCCCATCTTTCCATCTTGAGACAACACACACATTGAGCATGTAAAGGGGCTGAAACAGCACGCAGAGGCAGAAAAGGCAGCCAGAGCCATGGAGCAAGAGGGGATTGCCTTTGTTTTCACCACAACCTGGTAAAGAAACAGCAAGTCCTGTAAGATGACCATGGACAACGAGGTCAGTTGGATTTACCGGCACGCTGGGCAGCCCAGGCCAGGGCATTCCTGAGCTGCTGGCCAGGGGCTGCTCTCCAGAGGCTGCTCACAGCCATCCATAACACCACAGCCATCCATAGCACCACTGCCAACACCAGGGACACAGCAGGATTGTACATCACCAGGAAGAAAAGGAGACTTTAGTTTTCACATTTTGTTCATCTTATTTACCTTTTGGTTTCACTAAGCTTGAAAACCAAACGAAGTGATCAAATTCACTTTTTT